CTTCATTCGAATTAATACAGTTCTATTTTTGTAATGCTTGACAAATGTTTTTTTTGATCTGAGTTTGTGTTTTTTCATTGCAACGTCAATATTGAACTACAGCTTGACTTCAAATACTTTTTAATGTTGTAAATCACAAGTCAGGAATACAAATAATTCAGCCCATCTAGTTTCCCGAACCGACACGTCTGCTTAACCCACCACTGTCGTAGTATATTAAATATGTTTGACCCACAGATGTTTATTGTGTAACCAATTGTGTCATTTTTAAGTATATGTATTGCAAAAATATTACACAGTTATTGAAAGCAAATGTGTTTAATTATAATGAAGTTTCAAATGTTTTGCACAAAACATTTGTTGCGGTGAAAAAAAACCCCAAATAATTAAAAGAAAAAATCTTTTTTTCACAGTCTGGAACATGTCAGGCATCAAAATTGCCACACCGACATCAGTGAGGTCATTCTGTGTGGTCTAAATATTTAATTCCTAACAAATGTGGAATGTTCCTTGGAAACATGATAGCTTACAGCAGAACTCCAGTAAATTCTGAAATGTGCGCTCTTTTACAGTACATGTCAAAGGAGAGGGATTTTTTTCTAAGGAAGTCTTCTAAATCCTTGTTTATTGTTTGCAACAATAAAGGGATTGCTCCTCACAACAGATAGTAAAGTTCCCAGTGGTGTTGATTGAAATGTGGGGTCACAAAGAGTTCAAAGGTGACAGTTTTACACCTGGTGGTGATATTTGTAACAAGCAGTGGTGAAATGTTAGCTGTGTGTGTTACCATTTTTGCAGGCATCTACATAGTGCTACATTGTTAATCTCAAAAAAACTGTTTCTCTTTTTACATGGTTGAAAACCAGGGTAAGTTTAAGTACAGAATTACAGTTGTCAGAAAAATAGATTATATTTAGTTATGTTAGTGAGGTTATGTACTTAAAAAGTTAGGTACACACTCCCTGTTTTCATAGGAATTAACAGGGTAATGGCTGCTAGCCATGTGCTGCTAATCAAATATACCTCATTAATTTGATGATGACCAAGTATGAGGACATCTATAAAAGCAGACGTTTTGTCAGTTTGCTGGTCTGGAGCATTCAGGTGTGTGCCACAATCTTCCAAAGACTAGACATCCCACGTCAAGTTCAGACTGTACAATACTCCGAAAAACTGCAGCGCTACACCTTGGACTCTACAGGCCTCAGTTAGCATATTAAATGTAAAAGTTCATTAAGCACAATTGGAGAAAGACTAAACAAATATAGTTTATCTGGAAGCGTTGCCAGAAGAAAGCCTCCACTCTCTAAAAATTACATGTCTTTAAAAAGTTGCTTTTGAACAAAGCTAAACACTGGAACAATTTGGAGATGTTTGATGCACACTGCCACATTTGGTGAAAACCAAACACAGCTCATAGCAACTGTCACCTTAAAGTCACTGAAGTGACCATGAAGTCCTCTGTATACCAAAGTATTCTAGAATAAAATGTGAGGTCTGTTTAACACCTAAAGCTTGGCCAAAACGGAGTTATGCAACATGACAATGATAGCCAAGAAAACAACAAATCTACAGAATTACTAAAAAAGAAAAGAATCAAGGTGTTGCCCAGTAAATAGCCCAGTAGAGGTCCAGACCTTAACCTAATTAACATGCCAGTACCGTAAGAGCTGTACATAAACAAATGTCTGTAAAGTCCAATGAACTGAAGCAACACTGTAAAGAAGAGTGGGTCAAAATTTCTCCACAACTAATGAAGTCAAATAATCATGCAGTCACAGTTTCTCTGTAGTGTGTTGGCTTATACATCTGCCAAACCAATGAAGGATTCCTGATCCCTGATTCTTGTAGCAATCCCTTATGAACAGGAGACCGGCTAATAGTAGCTAAACTGTATATGTATTTGTGTTAGAATGCTAAAGTTAGCATTCTAATATACAAAGAAAACATCTTGCTGACTTGGCTTGTCTACACTGGCTTATACTGAGCTGCCATAGTGATGCCCCTGTAATATGGTGGACTAGTATTGCCTATATTTACTCATCTCCATCGTTGCTGTGGGTATTGGGCACTAGTTTGGGAGGTTTTTTGTGTGTCACAATTGCTGTGAACGAGTGGTTGTTATGGTGTTGGATTAATTGAAGGCAGTGTATTTGATTGTATTTGAGTGTACTGATACTCTGGTCTATTTATACCCAATACAATGCTGTGATATTTTGTTTCTCTGTTCAGGCCAGGGCCTACTATGTGACACAGCCTAAAGGCAGAGTTGGTTTACTGAGGCTGGAGTGATTATCAGCCCTTTACTTACAGGGCGTTGGGTCTTGGAGGACAACTGTTGTTTCCTGTTAAAGTTGTCGCCGTAGTGAAGTGTGGCATAGCTTGAACTGTGTGTTGTATCCCTTTTGCAAGTGGGACACTGTACTATTTTGTCCCTTCACTTTTATGATCAGTGTACTACTAAATTATCTTTTAGAATTTTATTGGTTGTCATCTTTTGCCCACGGCTGAGAAGGTTGCTCAGATCTAGAATCTGTGTGTGTTACAGCCCTTTCATAAACCCTTTAATAAAAGAATGGATGTCACTTGAAGCCTAGAAGAGCTAGGCTTACTTGCACATACAGAAAATGTGACTTGCTCTATCATAGACATCGCCCGTCCACAACAATCTGACCATCTATCCACCTCAGTACTACTGCAAATATAACCACTGCCATACCTATGTCATGAGAAGAATTTTATTTGATGATCAGAAAAAAAGGAAAAAATGGCATAAAGTGTTATTTTTAATCACATCCTCCCTCCTCCACGTGCACTCCTCCACACTATTTTCCAACCACAGCTTAATTATCTGTACCACTCAGAGAAGTAGGACATCATGTATTCCGGAAAATATTGCCATATAACATGAAAACCATCTGCACCACAAAAATAGCTGAAACTTGATATTTGCCATGATTCACACATATCCTTAAGTATAATACAAACCCTATATATAAGAGAAATTTGCCCTTACATAGTTACCTTATAAGGAAGCTCTTAATATAACTTAGTAATGATAATTTTCATAAACACCAGGCTCATCAAAAGATATGAGTATTTTCACAACAGATAATTTTTCCATTGAATAAATGTCATAACAAAAGGTGCTGTTGTTGAAAAGGCTGTTGTAAATGAGAATTACTTGGACTTATCCAATGAAGGTTTGCAGCTTATTTCAGAAGGGAGAAAATGAATAGTTTTCGTTTCCCTCTTCATAATATCCTTCATATCTCTTTGATGCAACTGTTGATTATTCTGCACCTCAGATCAGGTTTTTCCATTAAAAATTCTACATTCAGAAACATTAACAAAGATGTTTTAAGGAAACCGATGAAAGACCAGATGAAGGTGGTTACCAAGCAGAGTGCCTTTACATAACCGTTTACAAGGTCTGAGCATTGTTATAAAACATATTGAAATGACTATAACAAAGAAATTAATTCATAGTACCTACTAAAGTTTAACCTTTTCACTATCACTGGTTGTTAATGGTCAGTTTCTACTCATTTTAGTATTGAAATCAAAAGAACATCACACATCACGGTTCTTTTTATTTTTTATTGACGTTTTTCCATGGACTATTTGCACAATCTAAGCGTAGCTCATTTCCATTCATTGCATGACTAAACAGTTTATCAGTTTACGGTAATAGTGCAAAAGTAGAAGAATAAGGACTCTAACTGTTTTTGTTATATAACTGACTGAAAATAGCAAAGTTCCCTTTTTTAAGATCACATTCTGGCTGAATTTTTTGGCGTTTAAACACAATCAAAGAGCCTTCAGAGGATCTAGCACCAGCATCTTATACTACTACTGTATTGTAAGAAAAAGAAAGGCCCATGCTAGTGGCGAGAATGGGATTGGATTTTATTTCAACTGAGTATTATCTTAACCAACTGTATGCAAAGAAAAAAAAACAGACTTCATAAAAGACATCTATTAAGTTTTTATTTAGGTTTCGCATAATTAAGGGGTTTAAAAAATTATGTTTATAAAGAGAGAAATATATCCACTTATGGCTATTCTAAAAACAAGTGTCAATACATTAAAGGCAGAATAAAACACTCTGAACACCAAAAAAAAAAAAAAGTAAGTTTGCACCAGTAATATTATCTCTTCCAACTGGCAGCATATAGTACTTTTACAAAAATAAAAGCTTAAGTATTAATATGTAAAAATGGCTTATGATGGAGGCTAATTTTTCAGGTTTGTAAAGTCACAGATTACACAGTCATGGTGAAAAAAATATTTCACAAAGAATGTTTGACACATAACGCCTTTGCTACAATACTTTATACCACCCCTAATCACACCGATTGCCACAATTAATATGTATTATAATTTTAAATTGAAGTATGGTGAAAGAGTACCAATGTCCATTTTCTGCAAAATATTATTCTATTGTACTGGAAACTACAATATTGTGATACAAGTAAAACTGCCATATAGGATATTAATGTAAAAGGTAAACATAATCAAAATTAAATGTAATATAAAAGAAAATGGAAGCAATATATGGATATTAAAATCATATAATGTACAAAATGATTTAAGAAAACAAACCAGTGAACGCTTTATGTTCATAGTATCAGGTGCAGGTGTGTAACGTCCAGAGCCAGTAGTGACCAACACTGTAATACAGTAGTAGCATGCATTTCAACCTGAGTTTATCAAAAAATATACAATGTCATCAGATACTAATAACATTAGCAAGTATTTATATCGTTCATCTGGGCTGCTTATTCTTAAATGAATATCTAGCTCCCTCTAGTGGGGAAGACAAGAACAGTATGTCAAGCTTATAGCACATCCTTTCTACTTCCCACCCACCCTTTCCTTAAAAAAAAAAAAAAAAAAAAGTGGATTTTTTTTTGTGTTTGATATAATACAAGGATCCAATGTTTTATACTTTGCTGTATTAAAATAATATTAGAAAAAAAAAAAAAAAAAATGTGGAATTTTTTTTTTTATGGTGTTATAACTTCTGTTCACAGACAAGTACAATCATAGCTCACAGACACACAAACACTTGTTCAAAGCAGTGCGCACAGACATCGCTATGTGTGGCAAATGACCAAAACATAAAGCAATAAAAAACAGGGCACTGGATATCAGAACTACAGATAACTGAATTAAACGAGTTCCTTAGTTCTCACACAGTAGATACAAGCAGAGTAGATTAAGTAAATTAGTATCTTTACTTGTAATGTGACCAAATTGCATATGAGAGTTTCATACTAACCATATTAACACCAAACTATTTTTTTCCTACACCACTGTGCTCCGTTTTTGTTTCCTTGTATATAAATGTATCTTTACCCTAAATGTTATTTTGCACTAATAGCAAAGTTTTTTTGGGGTTCCAGATTGAATTAATGGTCACAATGTAAAACACACAGCAAAAAATATATTAAACCCCCCCCCCATTTCTTTTAAATAAATACAAGATAATAATTATAATAATGAAATCTTCATGAACACTGGCTAAACTAAAACTGCATTTTGCACTTTCAGCCCAATGACATGATTTTGCAACAAACCTGAGCAGCTAAGACTAAAACAAACCTTCTATTTCTTTGTTCATGCAAAGTGTTGACGTTGAGGTACCATTTGGTACTTTCTTTAAACTATTCCTTTGAAGGCTGTTCGATATTAGGGCATTTGGGACTAATCATCATGGCTTTGAGGCCCCGTTCTTCTTGCAGAGGTACAAGGAAATGCGGTTTGGCTCCTAGTTAGTTGACTCAAAGAACATGAAATCCTGTATGCAAAATAAGGAAAAAGAAAGCGTTCATAAAAATGTTTAAAAATGTAACGATGTAATGCTTAATCGTCTGTTAAAATGCATCAGCCAAAGCATATATAAAATTTGTACTGCCAATTTTCTAGAAAAGTAAAAAATATTGAAAGAATTTAGCAAACTCTGTTTTCTATTAGTTGAAATTCAGGTGATTCTAAACTACATTTCCCACTAAATGAGGGCAAAGTTACACATTAAGTCAGTCGGTCAGCTGCTGGTTGACGGTGTTGAAAATTACACCTAATCTGCAGCTCAAGAACTCTAAAATTACATCCTTTACAAAGCCTTAACATGACAGGTTAATACATCATATAATCATTTTGATTAAAAGGTAAGTGAAGATTGAACTTACAATGAGAAAACATGCGCCGATCATCACAGCCTTGATTTTCACATCCAGATCCATGGGAAACTGGATACCAAAGTTGTCTGAATCTGTGAATGCCTCCCTAAGAAGCCCTGTCCACTGCTTACTGATTTTCCCAATCTTGCTGACTTCATCGATTGTTAAAATCTGTGGAAAGAGTTGCATAAGAAAACAAATTGTGCACATGTGTTGCATTAGCGTAAAGGTCATTCCCTGGACTTGTTTGGTTTTACTGGAACAGGATCATCGAACAGCTCATAATTCGATTTTGTTTTTTGCCCGCTGCCACTGAAATCTGAGATTTGTACGCTCCATAATGAGTTCAAAGCAGCTAGGGGATGGTAATATCATGCTTCAGTTACCCTTTCTTTGGATCTGGCAAAAGGCCTGTATCACTGACCCAAATCCCCTTCGCAGCTCAATCTAATAAAACTAGCTGAACCATGGAACAAAGCCTACACTATGCCACACAAGAGCATGCCCTGTGCAGTGGCTTCATCCAAGCCATGGGCTTGTGTTACTGGAAACACATTTCTCGCTTCAGAGCACGAGGAGGCTTCCTTTAAAAAAATAATGTCCAGTGGGTGTGAATGTAACCATGTCATGTTGTGTTTTCACAAATTTCACGGATTTCTCTGTGTTTGGGTAAACCCACCTCAAAGTCAACATCTGGAAGGCAGCTCCATCCGCAGAAAGGCCCATGAATTTTCAGTACTGGTTCGTTGTGTTCATTAGCAACAATAAATTTAGGGGAGAAGGGATGCCACTGTTGTATCACATAGCCCACTGTGTTGCCGGGGGGAGCCTGCACCTCCAGCTGAATGAATCGTTATTAAAGAACAGAGTTTCATTTCTAGTCAGCTTTTAGAAAATACATGTAAAAATCAAAGATGTGGTGCAAGGTGTAAACAATGAGTGATTTGGTGATCAAAGGGAAATACTGTAATTTAACATATACAAAGAGGATGTGTCTAAACGTAGTTACTCTCACCTCTTGTAGACAACAAGGGAAGAAGCATGACATGCACTTAAGTGGTCTGGTGACAGTGATGATTTCTTGTCCAAAATTGTCAAGGATGTGGATGGTGAAGGAGCGCAGCGGACCGCAACACTGTCGACTCAGACAGTCGTTTTCCTCGACAGCGTAGAAGACGTTCTGGCCCATGACATTACGAACTTCATACTTATTATTGCTTTCAAAACCAATAAGAGCTGCATGGATAAAAAACAAAACAAAACTGAACAACTGTCGCTAAAGACATCCTTAAATATGCATGTAGTAAACTATTTACGTACTATACCTTCAATCAACTCAACTTTCTGTTTGATGAGCAGTTGATCCACCTAGAAAACCACATAAGCAATGTTATTTTTTATGTAACACTTGAGAGGAGCAGCTGTTGGTGGCGTAGTGTTATATATGCTGGCATAAACATAAATAACAGGTGTTGTATTATTTCTCCCTCTCCTCACCGCCACCCAGTCAGAGGAAACAGCTCCCCCTCCCTGAACCTGGTTCCAAGGGCGGATCTACTGTGGTGGCCTGGGGTGGCATAAAATAATCTTTTGCCACCTCTAGTACCACCCAAGATTTGCATATGACAGTTGTTTATTAAAATAATCTATCATTAACACTTTGAGCCTAGCTTCAATTAGCATTGAATATCAATTCTAAAATGAAATATACTGTATAATCCCCCTTCATTAAAAATGGTTCAGCTAACGCAAAACGGCTTTGTTTCTTGTTGTCAGTAGCAACCGACAGCGCATTTGACATTTTGTATAAATTTAGGCGTATAACAATTTGATTATTTCTAATAAGAAAAGTGTGAAACTTAAGTTACACTTGTATTTCTAACTGATCCACATCATGTATTGTAGTTTTCTGGATTGTATACTTATTTTGCTACATGCTTATTCATTATATAGGCTATACAGTACATAAAATTCAAATTCAATTTTTTTAAGTAACTGAAATGTTTAATTATTTGGGTGAAAGCCAATAAGAAAGATACAGATGATGTTTATATGAAACATGTGTATACTTACTGCATTTGATGTATTTATCCATATATAGTACATATTATAGAAGTTAACACCTCCATATGTGTAAAGAAATGGCTTTGATTTTGCCACCTAATCTGATTTCCATGCCACCCTCATGCAACTCTAAGAAAACGTTTCTACATCTGCCCCTGCCTGGTTCTGCCAGAGGTTTCTTCCTATTAAAAGGAGTTTTTCTTCCTACTGTTGCCAAGTGCTTGCTTATAGGGGGTTGTGTTATTTTTGGGGAGTTCTCTATGCTATTTTAGGGTTTCTACTTTACTATTAAATTGCCTTGACTCAACTGTTGATGTGATTTGGCACTATAAAAATAACACTGAAACAGTTCGTTTCAGTGTTATTTTTATAGTTCGTTGTTTTAATGAGTAGCCCTGGATCTCAGATAGAAATAATCAATAGAATAGAATAATTATAGCCCTGGATCAATCCATTGATCCCCCAAAATATGATACCTCTTATCAAAAATGGTAGTAGGGTATTTTTCTCCCCTCTTTGGGTCATTCAAGTAGCAGATAAACTTCAAATCACTTGGCACACACTCATTTTATGAGAGCGAGGCCAGAAGAGACAGAGGGAGCGTTCCCATTACTGTGTTTGTCACTTTTGGCCTCTGGTGGTAACTAAGCTGGAACATAAGAAGCTTTTTCTAAAACAAAAAAAGGATGAAGGCAATGAGGCGCAGGCGAGGCCAGAGGGATCAGAGAAAAGTTTTGTTGCTATGGCAGCAGAGTGAGGATGTGAGAGCCACTGCCTCATCTACAAACCTTTGCTAGCCAGTTAATCTAGATAAGTTTTGTCACTGTTCAAATTTGTCAAACTTTAAATGGAGCTCTAGAAGCTGAGCAAAGCAGTGGGAACCAACAGTGTAGCATATCAGTAACAATCTATCTCTGATGATTTTTTTTTTGTTCTGAAAGACAGCCTTTGATTGGATCAGAACAGCCCGGTCTCACATCTTTTACTAATTATAACAACTTACCCTCTGGAATAAACACATGCAGCGCATCTCACTTTATTTTAAGTGGATCAATATACTTTTACCATTGACTTCATTATGTTCTTCTCAACTTTAATGAATGGACCTAAAGCTACAAGGAATGAAGAAAAAGACTGGTGGCTTCAACTTACTAGCAACTCTTTCCAACACAGCTTGTTCACAGGGCAGATGTTGACTTATGACAGCAAGCAAAAGTGTCACTATTAACAAGTGTAACAAGTGTGGCTTGCACAGAAATCAGTCACTTTTTCTTCAATTTTTCACACTCTCCTACTGTGACATGTCAGAATGCCTGTGTGAACATATGTAGGGTTGTTAGTTACGTAAGTTTGGTTAAGCATTTAATTTAAGCTATTTAATTTAGAGGAAATATTGTCAATGCTACACAGTGTTTTAATCTATGTAGTCACAAAGGATGAGTAAGTCAGGGTATGTTTCCATAGTTTTCACTGCTATGTGATTTTCTGCTGTGTCAGGTGGCTATTTAATATTAGAAACCAGAAGGAAGGTAATATTGCTCATTATGTCTGCCCTTGAGTATCAATTTAGACTTTTGGCTATGCAGATTGCTCCATTTAGAGTCACTTGTACTTTACCAACCTGCGTCAGGTACTCTAATCCTGGGGGACAGCCTGGTATTCCCGGGCTGGGCACAGCATACATGTTCATACCGTCCACAGGGAGTTGATGAGACCTGTTGATGAAAAGTGTTTAAAACTGAGAAATGGCGCCATCTTCTGCTTATGTATAATCACAGTCGTGAACAAATGCTGCTAAACCGAAGCAAATGGACAACGACCCGTATATTTTCGACATCTATGTAGTATTTTGAGGTCGATAGAAGAGCCTGTGGGCATCGTTGTGCTCTCTAAGGTCCAGTATATGCTTTTGTTAACCAACAGCGATGTAGGTATAGTCCACAGCGTGGGGGAGCGGCTGCAGACCTACATGGTGGGCGACACAGACATTCTTGGTTGGTTCTGGAAGTGACGAGCTTCTGACGGGGAGACACCAGCTGGAGAAATCCTCTTAGTCCGTTTGTTTACACATAAGACAGCGGGCCTAAAGCCCGTGTGAGCCACACTGACCGTATTCAAGCAAGCAGATCGAGTCAGCGCAGATTTATGTGACCGATCGCGTTAAATGTGTTTACTACCCGTGAATGTTTCGTCAGCTGGTGCAGAGAGCGCACCCCGATCTGCCTACTTTGGGATTCAGACAGAGCCAGTCGTTCAAAGCGACGCGCTACAGTCAACACGAAAGTGTCTCTACACGCCCTCCGCAGTGCTAACTAGACGCGAGACATCCAGATGTTACAAGAGGGACAAAAAATACTCACCGATTTTAACCTGCTACTTAAAATAATAACGGGCCACTCCGGAACCAAACCAATGGAATAAAACTCGAATCTCATTGGTCGACGTGGTTGTACTTCCCATCTTCATGCACCAATGGCGATATGAGAGTATAGAAATGAACTCAGCAGAAGCAAATAGATTTGAGTAGAACTGAAAAAAAGAGAGCAAATTAAAAAAGGAATAACTTGCACGATTAGAGCGTTTGCATTACACAAAACCAAAACCAAACCAAAAATAGATAAGTATAATTGAAAAAGAAAACATTAATAATTAATGCTATTTAATTTATTCATTATGCACACGTTAGCAGCATATCGGTTTTCCTGGTATTTTCTTTTTCCATCCTCTTGATGTCACCATAAATACGAGGAAACGCAACACTGTGAAACGGTCTCAAGTATATCCTGTTACCTGTGCATCTTGTTGTGGATTTTACAAAGCAATCTACAATAAATTCCAGCAGTTACGTTATTTACACCAATATTAATGGTGCCTTCATAGAAAGCAACCCTTGCCATGTATTGTAATCACATCGCATATGTGTGCTTTTGAACTGCCTGCTGATAACAAGCCGATAGTTTCCTCCGTCTTCAGCAAAACGCAAAACGCAATTCCCCCCCAAAATGTAAATATTTGATTTGTAAGAGTAACATGACAGTTTTCTACTTTGCCTCAATCCATATTATATTAAAAAAAAAAATACAACAGCTTTTCTTGGTCATATATGTTCATTTCTTTGCATCGTAAAGGTCAAACCTTTTTTGAATGCAGACAAAATATGATCAGTCACAACAGTTTATCAGACCTGATCTCACACAGTGATTTCTACTACAGAACTTTTTTTTTTTTTTACAATCCCTTGTTTATGTGCTTTGATTAAGCTCTCAGATGTTATTTTTGTGTCTTCCTGTGTTTTAGTGCTATGATGCAATTGTTGTTTGATAATAAAGTTAATAGTGCAATGTCCAGAGGACTTTCAGATGTTAAAACCATATGCTGCCTCCTGCAAGCATGGATGGCATTTATTAAGATTGTTTCCTTAAGGGTAAGTACCCTGCAGTATATCTGGCTTTAAACTCACTCATTTGGCATTAATACCCTGATTATCTGTCTTTGGCTTAACTGCTTCTATTTTGAAAAACATTTTTTTATACTGAAAATCAATATACAGAAATAATTTTATATTAGATATTCTTATTGTTATATTCTACTGAAACTGAGAAGTTGAGATGTTTTTGTTTTGGTCATGTGGTTGAAAGAAATATGTTGAACATCACATTACATCACATCAATTCAATTTGAGTTGAAATTGATAATATTTTTTCCATTTGTGTTGTGTGGATTATTGGTAAGATTTCCATTTTTTTTTTCATGACTACTAAGACAGTTAGTTGAAGGAAACACATATGAACTCTAAAACATAAATTTAACATTTAAATGTATTTATTTTAAATAAACTAAATTAATTAAACTTAATTAAACTCTAATCTGCACACAAAATAGCAGAGCTGGGTTTAATGCGTTACTGTACTGTACTGTATCACATTACATTTTTCAGTAATGTAACTCATTATTATGTCATTACTTGTGTTACAAAGTTTCTTGTTATCTACATGCTGGGTAGATATAAAGAAAAGAAAAAAAAATATTTCATTTTTTTTTTTCGCACACTTGCGCTGCAATCAGCTGATTTCAGTTCCTGTTCCGGAGCAGGAAAATGGTGGAACGGTTTACCACAGATAATTTAACATTAGTTTTAGTTTAATTGAATGATGGCAAAGTGTAAACCGTCCAGAACAGAAACAACTGCTTTATAGTCCTAACACAACTTCTGCTCTTTGGAAGCACCTGCACAGACGGCATGCTAACACAAAGCTAGCCAAGAACCCAGAGTGATTTGAAAGCTGAGTGCATGCCCAGCCCAGGCGCCAGAGACTGATCTTTATCAGGTAACAAAGACAGTGATGAGCAGTCAGGCTTGAAGCCTGTTTGTGCCTGTTCATGTTTCTACAGTAACACTTAAATACTGTGGCATTTGTTTCTTTGAGCTGGTTTCTTCTTTGCTTTTTGTTGTGGGTTTTGTGTTCATATGTAAACACTAAAAGAAAGATTCTATGTATGTTGGGGATTTGTGTTGGTGTGTGGGACTGAAGCACAAGGTTTATATTGCTAACTGGTAATCATGTGACAGTGAGTAATTAAGTAACATACTGAACTGCTTTTAAGAAAAGTAATGGTTAGGTTGTAATTCATTACTTTTTTATTGAGTGCCAACCCCAACACTGGCAATAGGCACATAAAGCTGGGTTGTATGGTCATGTCACCCAAGGCACTAACAATGATCATGGAAAGCATGACAGAGGGATGGTGTGTTGACACCACTAGAGCTCTGAAGTTGTGGGATTTTGTTTCACAACTGGTATACGAGACACCAACCTGTGAAGGGAATCATCTTTACACCGTCTCAGCAGATTGAAGCAGCGTCATTGTATTCTGTTTAAGGGAGGTCTCACCTTACAGAGGGCTTTACTCCTTTCCCTCCGTATCAGTGACATCAAGATAATTTGTTCCTTTCATGGCCAATCTTGAAGAATCTGTCTTGACTATAACTATGAACCAATAAATGTGGATCCAAAGTTATCAGAGTCAAACATGAACACAGATATGCTAAAGAATGTTTTTGGCTCCAGAATATTTTCAGTTTTAATGCTACCTTCAGGGATGAGCACTTGCCTTTGATTTGTTTGGTCTGACATTTTTTCTGAAAACCTGGTTGCTTGTTTTCTGTGTGATGTAATCAATATCTGTATGTTGGATGGATGGATGGTTGGGTTGTCAACGCGACAGAAGAGTTAGTACACTTTTAGCATACACACACACAATCAGTCATGGCTGCCACTCCCTGAGCCTGGTTCTGCCTGAGATTTTCTTCCTGTTTATAGGGAGTTTTTTGTTTCCACTGTTGCCAAGTGCTTGCACAAAGGGGCTCGTTTGATTGTTGGGGTGTTCTCTTTATTAGGATCTAGTAGGGTCTTTACCTTACAATTCAGAGCCATATATATTTAAAAAAAAAACCTTCATATGACATACCACCTCAAAAGTCAGCGTTTGCACTGCTCTAATGTCTGTCCTTCCTCGACCAGATCTCCTAACTCCACCTTCCCTGTGCTTCCAGAAGTATAGACATAGGTTGAAAATGGGAGGTAGTAAGTCTCGCTGTCCACTAGAAAGGACGCTGAATATCAATTTTGGTGCAGAAGAAAACTTCTGTAATTCTGTTAAATTGAAAAGTAATGTGATTGTTAGCAATAGAAATTATAATGTCTGCAGAAAATTATTATTTAATCTCCCTAGAGGCCATAAAATGTGGAAACTGCATAATTTTTGTCATTTTCACGAAAGTCCATGTGCTCTTGGCATCCATAGAAGGCCCAAAATGTCCTCTCCTGACAGTGGAGCACAACTTTTATAGATTGAATAGAGTCAGACTAGAGGTCTCAGACTGAGGTCCTTCACACAGGAGAAAGATGAATTGACTTATAACAGTTGTGTGAGTTGATTTGATCTCCCTGTTTTAAGCTCTATTAGAATATCAAACTACTATGCATGAATTTGTTAAGTCCAAATAAGTCAGCCTTCATTTCCTTATACTGTATTTTACTGTGAAAATGGGTGCACTGTACAAAACAGACTTTATACAGTTCTAATAATTTTGCAAGTCAATATTTAGTATGGCCGCCTTTATTCATCAGCACAGCCTGAAATCTGTTAAGCAAGATTTGTTGTAATTTCTTTAAGTAGTCTTCAGGAATAGTTCGCCAGGCTTACTGAAGGACATTCAAAGACACTTCTTTGGTTGTTTCTTCCTTTTGTTCTGTTCTCTGTCAAGATGATCTCACACTGCTTCAATAATGTTGAGTTTTGTGAAGGGTAATCCATCACTGGCCGTGATTAATTGTCTGTGCTTTTACTTAATTGGCACTGAGTTTGGGATCACAGTCATCCTATACAGATAGTATTGCATGGTCTATCAAAGTCTGATGGTACTTTTCTGTGTTGATCATTTCTTAATATTCCGAACATCGAACACCTCTACTGTCTTTTACAGTGTGGTTTCATGGCTATACACTCACTGTTGCACCTCTCTTCTGACCTGTAATGTACATACTGACAGCAATTTGAACCGACAGTTTTAAATTTGGATTCACACACTTAAAATCTGTTTTCTTTTTCATAAATTCTCAGTCCAGTTCCCATGTAATCTTCTTTTCTCCTTTTCTTTCTTCCTATCTCTTAAGGATATGATTTTAAGATACTGTTCTGATGTAGAGACCTTTGTTTTAGTCATGTCTTGTTTTGTCAAACTCTGAACATATGTCATACTTACAGTGAAACTCAATAATCCAAGACATGCAGGAATAACCAAAAACAATTGGCTTGACTTCCTAGACATGGATTAATCCCAAACCTAAATTATTAAAAGCTTTTTCTTAGTCATGTTTTTAACCGTCCTTTAAAACTAGGTTTAGGTTTAGGTTCACTTGTACAATCTTAAGCTGCAAAGCAGTGGCGTTTCAAAACCTTGAGACTCAATTTCTACAAATATAGTAGAAAACCCTCCCTGTGCGCTTGAACTTTGAGAGTATCAATGTACCTTGCATCCACTGGAGAGCAGTATTGAGCTAATGATGCCCGGCCTCATTGGCGTTCGTAAGAAGACCAATGTAGAAATTGCTTTTTCATTGTGAAAAAAAGAAGATATTTTTGTCCTTACAAACACACACACGCGCGCACAAAAAACATTTTCTCTGTTACAAATGACATGACGTCGTTTGGGTCGAGTATGCTTATTTGTGAATACAAATTACCTGATTTCCTCAAGCGCTACTGATTTCTCCAAGAAACACTAATGAGAACAAATGATGACTCACACACAGATCTGCTGACACTTCAGGCGCAAACACCTAAAAACACGTTTTAATTGATTCACGTTACGACGATTGCTGACCTG